CCGTTTCCATGCTGTGCCCAGGCCTGAAGCTGGACTGGAGCAGATCTAGATAGACAGCTTCATCCAGGTACTGAGGAAGCTGTCGCGCCACCACACTCTCAACAACCTTCACCACAAAGCGAAGGTTGGAGACCGGACGATAGTTAGCCAAAACAGCCGGATCCAGAGAGGACTTCTTGAGGAGGGGCCTCACCACCGCCTCTTTCAAGGCGGACCACAAGACACCCTCACTCAAAGAAGCATTAATAATCCCCTGGAGCCAGCCTCGCGTAACCTCCCGGGAGGCCAGCATCAACCAGGAGGGACACGGGTCCAATAAACATGTGGTCGCATTCAGCCGTCCCAGTATCCTGTCCACGTCCTCAGGAGCGACAGGATCGAACTCTTCCCAAATGACATTCTCAAGACTAGCCTCCATCATCCCATCTGTACCTACCCAGTGAGAGACCAAGCCTTCCCGAATCTGAGTGATTTTATCGTGCAGATAACTAGAGGCAGAACGACATATAACCCTTTTTGTACTGAAACTAAAATTTATACTGTAAGTTGGAAGGTACACTGTAAATCCTTGTGAATTACTTGAAGTAGTGTCTTAATTTATATCAACTTATCCATATTTTAATATCTGGATCAGAGGACTTTCTCTGTGACCTTTGACGGCTCTTTAATTGTCAAAACAAGACAGAAGGTTCCTTCAATAAAGCTCTCACACTTACGGTACATCTTACCTAATGTTCATCATGCCACACCATCCATTTTTAAGAAAGTCTCAAGACTTATATTTTGAGTGAATGCGTTTTCAGTTCAAAATATTTCCACAACAGCTAGGCCAACATATTCTGAAGTGGAAAAGCTGTTTTAAACTACAGAGTAATATTCTTGAAATGGAGTGTTTCAAGTTTGGGATGTTTCAACTTCAAATGATTTTATCACAGTGACTGTTTTGACTTTGTTAATTAGTGCTATAATTTTAATATTTTACATTTAATTTATAGATAAAACATAGTTGGACAGCTATTTCTCTTAAAATGTTTTAAATAATAAATCTAGAATTGCTTAAGAAGAAAATATTCAATTACGTATTTTATTCATTTATTAAATATTTATGTCATTCATTTTACTGATAAGCGACTTTGGGCAGATATAATACACCTTTAACTCAATGTATCCGAGAGCAACACTCATTCACTTTGAAAATTAACATTCTTAAAAATAATTTTAACACAATGACTTTAAGAAAAATGTTTCCATTTTCAAAAAAAAATTAAAATTATTTAATTACTGTTTGTACTGTTATTGAAACAGCAGGAATGAACAGAACTACCCTTCTGTAGACAATAAAATTTATATTTGCTATATATCGAACATTTAAGAATTAAAAAGTTTAGGACTTTACCCAAATTAAAAACAAGGGGCTTGTATCACTTTGAACTGCCTTGTAACACTAGGGACATGCAGAATATGTATTCCTTATGTATTTCTAGAAATGTGCAGGAAAGAAATAGAATCACAGGAACAGCAAAATCTTAGAAGTCTAGTCCAAACCCCTGCCCAGCATAGGAATATTCTTCCCATTGAAAACGTATAGTACTGAAGCACCCACAACTCGAGGGTTAGGCTGTTCCTCCATTGAGAGAAAAGGGAAATCTCAAAGCACACACAGATATACTTCAATCTCCAGCTATTGAACTAGTATGGGAATAAGAGCAGTGCAGCTTCTTCCCATCCTTCTTAGGATACATATATATGCAACTGCTATACAGAAACAATGCTGAATGCTATGACTATTTCATCGTGTCTCAAACCTAACCCTATCTAAGTGTGCAAAATCATATTTACTCATTATGGATCATTAGGCAACTTTCCATTTTCTTGCTAGAAATCTTATTAAAATTAAATGTTATCTCTAAGGTAAGCAACTACTGTATGCAATAGTCAATGGTATCCATTTTGAAATGACAATATCCCTTCCAATTATTTACTCCTTTTGTTGCCAGCAGTTTAGACATTAATGGCTGTGTGTTAAGTTATTTTGAGGGGACAGCACATTTACACTGTTATACAAGCTTTATACTCACTACTTTACATTGTAGCCAAGTGTCATTTTTTCAGTGGTGTCACATGAAAAAATATACTTAAATATTTACAAAATGTGAGGGGGTGTACTCACTTTTGTGACATACTGTAGCTGAATTACATTTAATGACTCAAAGTAAGGCAGCACTTTATCTTCTCAACATTGGCAGTTTTTAAGATGTATGGACTTCAACTCCAGAATTTCCCAGTCAACGTCCTAAAACTGCCAAGGTTGAGAAAGACTGCTTTATAGCATCTTTATCCGACCCCAAAAAAAGAGTAGCATTCTGAATCTGCCATTCAAGTGTAGGAACTCTGAAAAGCATATAAGAAGCATTTGAACTCTAGACAATTGTATATAGATATCTGTTATTCATTTAATTTAAAGATTAATTCTTTATGGATGCAAAACCAAAAAGTCCACCACTTTTGTAACTAATAGTGCTTTAAATGCAGTTTTGTCATATGTAGCTACAAATTACTTATATCTATATTTAACCAGATGGGATATACAGGTAGTGATTTAGTAACCATTCAAAGTTACAAAAAAGTGACTTACAACTGGTCCTTACAGGTTGTAAAGTGACTTACAACCCTTGCAGCATGCCCAGTGCCACATGATCAAAATTTTGCCACATGGCAACCAGAATGCATTTACAATGTTTGCAGCATCCCAAGGTCATATGATCACCATTTGCAACTTTGTTTTTTTCCAACAAGCACAGTCAACAAGTTGGATTTGCTTAAGGCACAAGATTCACTTAACAGCCACAATGATTCACTTAACAATTGTGGCAGAAAAGGTCATAAAATTGGGTGTGATTCACTTAACAACCATCTTGCTTAATAACAGAAATTCTGATCTCAATTATGACAGTAAATCAAGGACTACCTATAGTGATCCATTAGCTCAATTTACAATAATTGCTGTGAATTAATTTTATAGAGCTTTCTGTTCAATGAGTTAAAGCATGAAACTTCCATTGTACTTTCTGTTAAAGAAAACCTATATTCAGGTATGTAGCTAAACAAAACCCATACACATCCTCTGCAGTTCATACAGTTTTAGTACTACTTTTATGAAGAGCCGAGATGGTGCAGTGGTTAGAGGGCAGTACTGCAGCTGACTGCTAGTTCAGCAGATCAGCGGATCAAATCTCACCAGCTCAAGATTGACTCAGCCTTCCATCCTTCTGAGGTGGATAAAATGAGGACCCAGATTGTTGGGGGCAATATGCTATTTAATATACTGTCTTTGGTGTAAGCCGCCCAGAGTCCTCGGAGAGTGGGCAGCATAGAAATATGACAAATAAATAAATAAATAAATAAATGTTAGTTTGTGAATTACTGCAAAAACCCATGCAAAGATTCAAAGAAATGTATGACACTGTTTGAAATTCTATAATACTGTCTATAAAATAACTTATTTGCTCAATACAGGTAATCTTCAATTTACAACAGTTTCTTTAGTTATCATTCAAAGTTACAGCAGCAATGAAAAAAGTGACTTATAACCATTTTTCACGCTTATGACCACTGCAGTACCCCCATGGTCACATGATCAAAATTGAAATAATTGGCAACTGGTTCATATTTATGACGATTGCCGTGTCCCAGAGTCATGGCATCACATTTTGCGACCTTCTGACAAGCAAAGTCAATGGGGAAGCCAGATTAATTTAACAACTGTGCTACTAACTTAACAACTGCAGTGGTTCGCTTAACAAATGTGGCAAGAGAAGTCGTAAAATGGGGCAAAATTCACTCAGCAACATACATTTTGGGCTCAATTGTAGTCGTAAATCGAGGATTACCTGTATTAATTGCAACTGCCTCTTCATATTCAAAACCTTGCTGTTAAAATGTTCCAGAGTGTCTAATTCATCTTCCCTCAATCTCCTCACCAATTTGAGCACTGCTGTTTGTGTTATTCATCTCCCGTTTCCATAATACAAAAATGGGTGAGACTTCAAGACTGGCTCAAGCATCTAATCAACGTTTTGAAAGATCGAATACTAGACGGTAAACGAATCTTTTTTTCCTGGTTTCACGCCGAGCTCTTCATTACATCTGTACAGGAAAAAGGCCAAACACTTCCTCTTCGCTCCACCCCATCTCTCTCCTCAAACTGGCGCACATACACACAATGGGAATGCCCACTCCACCGACAGGAGGAGTCTGACCTAGCACGCAGATAGGCGCGCAGCGACGAACTTCTACTCCCTTTCTTTCGGTCTCCCCCCCCCCCCCCCGCCTATACAGCTGACCTTAAGCAGCTCGGCAAAGTTTCCTCCACAATTTGGACCACGGCAAACTAGGTCATTTCTCTGAGGGCGAACAGGTTCCATAGGGCAGAGGGAATGAGCTTCACAGGCAAGGAGGAGCCCTCAGAGGTAGGCCTCGGAGGTCTCGTGTCACCCGATGCAGCTTGGCCTCACACATGCCGGGCTCAAGAGAGGGGGGGAAAACCCAAAAGCCCGGGTAATTCTTCCACTCAAGCCCGTCCCAACCACTAACACCTCCTCATAGTTCCAGTCAGGGGCCGTGCCAACAACCACCTCCTCCCATCCAAGAGGCCGAGCCCTGCCGGGCCTGGCTGCCCCGCGTTCGCCCGCCGGACTCCATTCTCACCTCCTGGTTGAAGGCGTTCACTGCCTCCATGTTTGTCGGTCGGCGGCCTACGCTACCGCGCGCGAGGAGCTGAAAGGTGATGGCCGAACGTCGTTTTCAGCAACGTCCCGCCTTCAGGGCCTCGGCGCTAACATGTCCGTTTTGGCGGCAGCCCGCAGCGACTCGTTGGCGAAGTTTTCGCACAGACCGTCCCTCTCTATCTCTCCTTCTCTCTCTCCAGCGGAACGGCAAAGTGCACGCCGCGAACAGCACCCTGGGATAGCAAGGGCCTCCCAAGCCTCGCGCCACCCATCGGAGGAAGGAGACCGCAGGACAAAAACCATAGACACACAAGTGCCTACGAGTGCGCACGCGCGCAAGGAAACGCATGCGATTGAGCTTTCTTTTTTTTCCCCTTCTCGGCTTTGGCGGACTACTTCCCGAAGACTTTCTTAAGGGTATCCTTGCCCTTGATTAATGAACATTTTGATGACTTGTCATTACGTGAACGATAAAATGCGAATATCAATCAGCACTTAAATAATACACGCCGGTTAAAATCAAAAGGGCGATTTTTAAAAATTCGTTACTTTTTCCATTCTTACAATTTAAAAACGTCAGAACGAATGTTGTAATCCTGTGGGACGGTTGGAAATGGACCCATTGCTGGTAGGGATTAAGGTGCTTCAGGAGTGAGGCTTTCTGGATCTACCAATCCAAAAAATTACACATCCGCTGAATCACAGCCTCTAACCGGAGGTGTTTCCAGGTAGAAGGTTCTTAGTAGTACAGGTAGTCCTCGATTTACAAAAGTTTGCTTAGTGACCATGCAAAGTTACAACGGCACTGAAAAAAGTGACTTTTATGACCATTTTTCACACTTAAGACCATTGCAGCATCCTGATGGTTACGTGACTTACATTCGGATGCTTGGCAACTGTCTCACATTTATGATGGTTGCAGTGTCCTCGTGTGATCAACTTTTGTGACCTGACAAGGGCAGTCAATGGAGAAGCCAGATTCACTTAACTTTTACTAACAATTGCAGTGATTCACTTAACACTTGTGGCAAGAAAGGTCACAAAATGGGGAAAATTCATTTAGCAATTGTTTCACTTAGCAACAAAAATGTTAGGCTCAATTGTGGTAGTAAATTAAGAACTATCTGTACATGATGGAAGTATCATCCAGGTGGCAATTATGAATTATTAAGAAACTTTGTCCAAAGATATATTTGATTATATATAGCCCTTAAGTTCAAATTGGAAAATTAAGTTGCTGTACAGTTTATTAGTACAAAATGCAAAAGATATAAACAAACCAAATTACAGTATAAAATCTGTCCTTAAAAGACAGATTTATAGCTAAAAATAATACTTTATAAACCTTTTAACATTAGAAAGGAACCAAATCATAACTCACAAGGGAGTGTATCATATATTTTTGGAATTGATGTAAGAGAAAACATTGTTCAATAATAAATGAGTCCTTGAAAGCAGAACATTTTCAGATCCTGTCCTGCATTTTCTAATATCCAGACAGGTTGGTAACAGGAGAAGTAGTCCTTTAAATAGATCAATTTAGACATTTAAACATAAATATCAACACCTTAAACTGTGAATGAAAAATGAGTTACAATCATTACAGATCTTTCACTATAGATACCATGTAGAAAGGATAACATGCAGAAGACAAAGGAAAGGAAAATTCACTCGCTGGTATAAAAAGTCTTTGGTCCAATGTGTTTCAGGCTACATTAGTCTTTTTGGTACAATATTAATGTAATCCAAATAAAACAAAAAGTTTCTAATATAGTAGAAATGCATTGGACTAATCAAATAATCATTATTTCCAAAGTAAATGATTTTTTGTTTTATTCTGTGATTTTTTTCCTTTGGGTCCAGTTTCAAGAGTAGCTACAAATAGAGGACACTGCGGTTGTCAAGTCAGTACATATGTAAGGCAGAGAAAAAATTGCGAAAACAAAACAGTTTGTTCAACAGTTGCAACTAGATTCCTTACTATAGCCAGCATTAATATCTAGTGGTGGTTAAGGCTCAAAGAGCACCAAATTAGCAGCAATTTAGCCTTGTTTGAATTTATTTTTCTTTGATGTTTTACCCAGACCAGTGGGGGTTGCTCCCAGTTCTGTCTGGTTCTTTAGAACCAGTAGTAAAAGTGGCAGGAGGCTCCGCCCACCCACCCAGATATTATAATTGACGATCTGCGCATGTACAGAAGCGCGCATGCGCTCCTATTGCAAACCGGTACTAAAGGTAAGTAGAACCCAGACCATTATGAAACACAAATATCATTCAAGAATAGTGATTGCTTTTTAGAGTTAAGATTGTAAATGAAATAGGCTAGAATTATCTGTATATTGATGGCATACTGCTCTGAAGTACTCCAAAGTTTCATGGAAATACTGTCCAGCATGGGACTCGAGATAATTTACACCAGCAAACCCTAAGGAGAAGATTGGAAGGATCACAAAATAGTGGTTCCAAGGCCAAATTGTCCTAGGCTAGTGTAGAAAGTCACCACCCACCCATCCTCCTAGAGAATGAAATATTTTGAGGAATATTAACAAGGCAGGGTAGAATATTTCCCCTAAGGGAGAAATGGGAAAAAATCTTAAGGAATTTTTTTTCCCCGTAAGGGAGGCAGAAACCAGCACCAGTCTCCCTGCCCCAAGCAGAATCCATTTTGTCAATTGTCCCAAAACCACAGGCTAGTTCTGCTTCATCAAATAAAGGGAACCTTTGTTTCTAATCAGCTTCCATTTTATTCCCGGCTTGGAACTGGAATTGGATTTTTCTTCCAACACTATCCAAAAGGATGCCTGGGTCAATTACACTAAAAGCAATCAGAACAATCAAGGGAGGTGGTTTGGTTCTTCCTGCCCAAAACCACTATACAGAATTTTGTGCCAATCCTGAAACCCAAATGATGTATCAAACAAGTGGGATTGCACATGGGAAAGATTTCAATGAGCAATTCCTTCGTACATCAGGGAATACAAATCTATAAGTGAAAAGAGACCTTACTCCTAATTAAACAAGTCAATTAATACTTGCTTAGCTTCATATCAAATTCCAGCACATTTACACCTCAGAAAGATTAGTTGAAAAGAGCAAATAAAAGCAACTAGGCCTCCTGTTTAAATATTCCCAGTCATTTTTCTTTTTCCTTTTGAGCAACTCACAATTTTATATAATACAGAGGATAAGATAAAGCTGCTCTCTTAAAGGGACTGTTGCCTTATCTAATAAAACAAAATGTTTCTCTTTGTCGTGTGTAGCCAAGAAAATCAGATAATTATCTAGTAGCTGAAGCACATTTCTAACTTTGCTTTCATTATGCTCCTGTCCTTCCTTATTTTTTAAATTTTACAAGGAGTCTATGTAATAGTCTCCGTCTACCATTATTTCTTCCTCATTTTTTTTTCTAAAGAAAATTGAGATGTTTCCAGATAGAATTATAGTATCAAATCATCTTGTTTTAAAAGGATTTAACCATTATACAGTATTCCTTTTTGTCTTTCATTTTGACTCAGGCAGCAGGCTCTGTACTTTTGTTCATAAAAACAACACAAGCATAAGATCTACAGATATAGATTCTTCAGTTTATTATTATTCTAATATAAGATACAGTCTTAAATATCCTCATTTCTTAAAAAGTAAAATGCTGTGTGGTTATAGAACTGAATTCCATGGTTTAAAGAAATTCTAATGGTTTCTCCACACAATCCTTTGTCCCAGCACAAAGAAACTCCATTAGCCTTTTCCTAAGGAATGTCCTCCATCTTGTAGCTGGGGTACAACTGAGGCAAGATGAAGCTAGTTTCAGCTGTTCTGGCTTGAAAGGTTTTTGTTTTGTTTTTTAAATTTGATTTATATGCCGCCCTTCTCCGGAGACTCAGGGCGGCTTACAATGTACTAAGCATTGTACTAAAAACTACTAAAGTAGTTTTTATCTGGAAGAATGGAAGAAAATCTCCCATAAACACTAGATATTCTAGATTGCACTAAGAAGTTAAAGGTTGGTGACCTTCTGGGTCCCCAATAATCTACCTCAAGACTGGTCACTTCCATCCAGCTGCTGGGGTCTTTACCTGAAATGGCCATTGTACTTAGCTGTCAGAGATAGCAAAATCCTGCCCTGCACCAATCTGTCAGTTTATTTTTAATCAGAGGAATTTGAACCATAGAGAGAACCAAGTAAAGTTCTCTCTCAGATTACTATTCCCTTTGGTGAGTGGAAAATAAGAACAAGGGGCAATTTGCTTGAAAATCCCTCTCACATCCTGTCTCTGATTAACAAACAAAATGTATCCGAATGGTCACGGAATTGGCAACTCCAAATCTCGACTAATAAATGCTCTGTCCTATACATTGGCAATAAAAATCAGAACACTAAATACAAGTTGGATGGAAACAATCTCGTAGACAACCCTCACTCTGTCAAGGACCTAGGAGTACTCATCTCAAATGATCTAAGCCCCAGAGCCCACTGTAACAACATTGCCAAAAAGGCATTAAGAGTTATTAACCTAATTTTGTGAAGCTTCTTCTCCGCTAACGTTGTATTGCTAACTAGGGCATACAAAACCTTTGCCAGACCAATTCTCGAATACAGCTCATCTGCCTGGAATCCATACTGTATATCGGACATTAATATGATTGAGCGGGTCCAGAGGTACTTCACAAGAAGAGCACTCCTCTACTCACAAAAGAATTCCCTATGCCATCAGACTTGAAATTTTGGGCTTGGACAGTTTGGAACTACATAGTCTGCAGTATGATCTAAGTACAGTACACAAAATTATCTTCTATAATGTCTTACCTGTCAACAACTTCAGCTTCAACCTCAATAATACTTGAGCAAACAATTGGTACAAACTCAAGGTAAACCACTCCAAACTCAATTGCAGAAAATACGACTTCAGCAACAGAGTGGTCAACGTCTGGAATGCTCTACCTGAGTCCATTGTTATATCCTCTAACCCTCACAGCTTCAACCTTAAACTGTCTACCGTGGACCTCACCCCATTCCTAAGAGGTCCATAAGGGTGCGTGCATAAGTGCACCAGTGTGCCTACCATCCCTGTCATACTGTCCCCATTTATTTGTATTCATTTCTTTCATTCATATCCATTTTTATATTTATACTTGCTGTCTTGTACATGTTTGACAAACTAGTAAATACAAATACAAACTGTAGAAGCCTTAGTTGCATTTGAGTTATCCTTTGAAACAAAGGAAGACCTTTCATATTCTTTGATCAATCTCATCATTTCCTCCTTCCAAAGAAAGAAATCAAATAAGAACATTGAATCAGACCTGGCCCGAATACAGAAAAAAATATTTTTTTCTAAAAGCATTGATTAACAGCCACATTGACCAGAAGGGACATGGGCTCAGAACACAAGTGGCAGAGCTCACAACAGAAGACAGAGTCCACTTCCTCAGAAGTGATCGGTTTAAATACAATTTGAGTCCCATAAATTGAAGAAATCATTCCTGCTATTTCTGGAAATTTTCTCAGTCTCTTCATAAGACCAGACTCCTGCAGTATAAGTGTGTTGCAGCAAGTCTCCAATCTGTTCCAGTTGGAGTTCAATGACTTTCCAAATGCTGCCTCAAACTTTTCTTCACTGGTAGATTTTATGACACAACTATTTTATCTAGAGGCTGTGTTTGATGTGTTGGGAGTGAGAGGTAGTTTCATGCCTTCAATAATTTTAAAGAAACTATCTAATTTCTGTCATCTAATTATCATGTAATTTTATAAATCCAGATGTCACAAGTTATTTTCAGTACTTTTCTAATTAAATCAATTGTGTTTGTGTGATCCTTTCCCTTTTTTTTTTAATTAGATTTATATGCCGCCCTTCTCCGGAGACTCAGGGCGGCTTACAATGCTTTAAGCAATAGCCTTCATACTTTCGTATATTTTATACAAAGTCAGCTTATTGCCCCCACAAACTGGGTCCTCAATTTACCTACCTTAGAAAGGCTGGAAGGCTGAGTCAACCTTGAGCCTAGGGAAATTCGAACTTGCAATAATTGCAGACAGCTGAATGTTAATAACAGGCTTTTAGTCTGTTGAGCTATCCAGGCTCTCTTGAGTTGAGATCTGTTGGAAGAAACATCCTTCTGGGTTCTGCTCCAAGTGGGGAAAACAGACACTGGAAACATGGAGACTGCTTGGAAAGATGGTTTAATGGTGGACAGGATCACATGGCTTGAGTTCCTGAACAGAAAAGGGGCAGAATACAGTAAATCCTCGGGTTTTTATGCTCTCTCTGGCTCTGCATTTCTTGGGGCCACGAAAGAGTATCCTGATTGGTTGTCAGACTCCCAGGGGGTGGGGGCCTTGCTGGCTGATGGTCACATGTGCTTCCCAGGTCACATGTGGTGAGTTTCTGCTGCTATTGTGTAGAGGGCTAATCCTTGTTGGATCTTTGGCAATTCCTACTATGGCTCTGCCTGAAGGAGGTAGATCTTTGTTATGTAGAATAGACTGGCCCAGGCCTTAATGGCCCATTGACAAAGGGTGGGGGGCAGGAAGATGGGAGCTGCTTCAAAACATGCTTATCCCAGGGAAATATAATATTCTGCCTTTTTCATATTTCCTAAAATATTTCACTCTTCCAGGAGAGGGGTGGGTGCTAACTTCCTACAATCCCTACTCTTTTTTTTTTCAAAACGTGAGTTTTGAAACAAGTTCTTGGCAAAAGATTAAAATTGATCAAATCAGGGAGCCTTAATGGGTGCTTTTAATTTTTCTAATGCAAAGGGGAGGCATTGATAGAGGCAACAGAAAAGGATTCCTTCAGTGGCTTCCAAAAGCTTTCAACCATGAAGGTCTAGCAGCCAGGAAAAAATTTCTGGTAAGAATTTTACAGTATCCAATTTTCCATGCCAATTAATTTCAGATTTCAGATATTACTTTCTGTGAGCTTCCAGTCAGGTTTCAAGCAAACACATGTCCCAAAATTTTTCACAGCCATGATTTTCCTTTAAATTGCAGGCTGCCCATTTCATGGGTTGATTACTGAACCTGCCCTAGCTCTTTATTGCATCCAGGATTTGTGAGTCCAAATTGAGGTTAGCCAGTGTACAATATCCGTTCTTTTTTTTTTTTTTTTGGTGTTACACATGAGCCCTGGGATTTCTACTCATGAGACCACCAGTGCAATATATCTTCCTTTACTGGGCAACTGGGCAGCATCATTTGAGTCACAGTCAGGGCTTGGGTTTTGGAGATCACT